GGTGCGCATTTCTGGTTTGTGTTGGGGGTGGGGGGGGGGGGGGGGGCCGGACACCCAACATCTAGTCACCCTCCAAAGAGTTGTACTCAACAGATATTGACTGTACAGCACTAGAAAGCCAGATGGGAATTCACTGTATCCAGCTCAATGTGCTGATTGACTGACAGGGGAAGAGTCCGGGCCATCCCAATGATCACAGAGGCCTCGGCCTGTCTCCCCTCGGCCGGCCCGCCTCTGGAGTTGAGCGAGCGTGCATTACTCCGGCCATACTCAGCGGACTCGATTGACATTTCTGCCAGTCACAGGAAACAGATAGAGATGCGTTTCTAGAGGGATCCAGTCACGGCTGTCCAAACGATTGTGTCTGCGATCTGGCTCAGTGTGGATTTACCTGCTGCTGCTGTCAGTGTGCTCTGAGCAGCACAGAGCGCCAATTCCTGTGTGTTTTCCCATCCGACACACAACGATGCTGCTTCACGTTGCTAATGAAACACTAAAAGCAATTGTTTTCTTTTCTAAGTGGATTCTAGCCATAAAATGGGCCGCAGATAATTGATTTTGCTGCTAGGATAGAACATCATGTTCTTGTTTGTTTTTGTTTTTTTTCCTGGTAGATGACATGCGGTGAGATTGGGTGACTCAGTGGCCCTGGGTGCTTTGTGTTGCCCTGCCCCTAATAGAAGAACGTAAATACACCCTGTGCATCCCCCCATAGCCTTATAAGATACTGAACTATGTCCCCTGGGTATTGTGTCTCAGAGTAGCCATGGTGGGCTTTGTCCGCCTCCCGGCCGGCCGTTCTGGAAGGAGCGGCCGGCCAGGAGTTCCCTGGATCTGAGCGGGCGTTTTTAAAAGTCCGCTCAGCCACTCCCACTCGCGCACGCAAGTGGGAAAGTGCCTGCAGCGATGCCTGTTAACATACAAGAGCCGGCGGATCGCTTGTATGAGGTGCCGGTATGTGTGCCCTCCCGCTATCACACTGGTCTCGGGCTCTGCTGTGCCCGGTGCGAGCCCGGGACCAGCATGGTGGCTCTGTGACAGGGGATCAGAGGGAGTTCGGTACACGACCTCCCTCCGGTCCCCTGTCAGAATGCGGACGTGATGTATATTACATCCCTTCCGCATTCTTGTGTCACTCTCAAGCTGATGAAGCAGATGAAGCTCTGCTTCATGAGCTTCTTTGGGGGGTCCCTATTTGACATTAGGGGTCTTGGAGACCGTGCTCTTCCTATGGGGACACTAGTTCTGGTGACCGTTCTCTTCCTATGGGGACACTAGTTCTGGTGACCGTTCTCTTCCTATGGGGACACTAGTTCTGGTGACCGTTCTCTTCCAATGGGGACACTAGTTCTGGTGACCGGGCTCTTCCAATGGGGACACTAGTTCTGGTGACCGTTCTCCTACAATGGGGACACTAGTTCTGGTGACCGTGCTCTTCCAATGGGGACACTAGTTCTGGTGACCCTGCTCTTACAATGGGGACACTAGTTCTGGTGAGCCTGCTCTTCCAATGGGGACACTAGTTCTGGTGACTCTCCAAGACATCACTCTCCTGATGTCTCCATAAAGAGGACCTGTCACATCTCTTTGCTATCACATAGGGGGGTTTCTTAGTTGTCTATGTGATAACAATAAAGTTAAGTGGAAAAAAAAAACAGTTGCAAAAAAAAGTATTTAAAAGAATTTTAAAAAAAAACAATTTTTTTTTCAATCCCCCACCCATGTATACTCGCGTGCAAACATGCGTCGGGTGCGTATACGTGGAATACGCAGATGAAATATATACATACAAAGGAGTTGTTTTGCCTGCCAAAGGATTTATCTGTAAAAAATAAATCAAGGCAAGAGGGCTTGCTGTATTTTTCCTGAAGACGTTTCACTGGAAGGCCTAACCTACGCCCTTGGAGGCGGCTCGGAGTGGGTGGCCTTTTACTCTCACCCCCTCCCTCTAATTATTGACTTTTCAGAGATCCTGGTCGTTAGGATAGGTAGTTCTCAGGGTTTCCAGCCAGGCACTTTGGATCTTTCACTACTACTAGAAAATTGAAGAAACCTTCCAAAAATATTTTTTTACAAAATTCTACAGGTCTATGGCAGCTGAAGCCGCAATGTTTTACTTTTGTTCTTACGTTTGATTGTTGTATGAGACTCAAAAAAATATACATGAGGAACTCTGTCCTTCTCTAATAAAAGAACACATGAAGATGTAAAGATTTGAGTGTCCATCGCCTGACGGCCGTCCTGCGTCCCCCAGGGCCGTCTTTAACGCAGGGCAAAAGGGGCAGCTGCCCAGGTCCCAGTCATTGTTGTGGGACCCAAAGCAGCTGCCCCTTGAGCAGGTCCTGCGCTGCAAAACTCCTACTACTGGCCCTGCATCTCAGCACTGGCAGCAGAGCGCCGGATGATCGCAGAGCGGGTGACACGGAGAGAAGAGCTGGATGGACGCCCTCCGTGCTGTGTGTATGTGTGTGCTGGAGGAGGCGGCTCTGCAATAACCTGGAGGGGGGGGAAAAATACACCTTCACCTGTGTACACAAAAATCCTTGCGCCGGCGCTGTCCTTGAGCCCGCGCCACTCTTCTGTTTACTGTGCGATCGATATTGCATAGTGTTGCTCCGGCCCTGTCGTATAGGCGTATGCATGGGCAAAATTGCACGGCGGGTAGAGGGTGTTTTGTGGGGGGGGTACTATGCTTAGACTTGCTGTATGTTCTGTGCATCATTATTAAACATGTCAGTAACACATAATTTTCACTGTGTGAGCTGAATGAATGCCAGACAGAAGAATTCTGTGACAGTCAGGTAGACAATAGAGCTCTCTAGAACTCAATCACCACACAGTCATTTGATTGTGCTGATACTGCTACATTCTAGTATTTACCAATTGTTTCTGCAAGTACCCCTGACAGTTCTGTGCTTTCTAATCAGAAAAGACTGACAGTGGGTCACTGCTGCTCTTATGGCTGAGAGCCAGTGCTGAAAGGATGAATGGGTCACCTTGAGTATTGTGCATAGGAAGGGGAGATGTGTGTGGTAATTAGATATATGCAGCAAATGCAAAAGGTTGGGCACTCCTGTCAAATTACATTCATTGTTTGTTTTCTTACTAAAAAATCTCTCCAGGGAACAAACTTACACAATACATATTTTTGCAGATTCTGCTACACTGTTAGAATCAGTATGCTAAATGTGTAAATGAACATGTGGCAAGTGCAAAATGCTAGGTGCCCCGCCAATCAGTATTAAAGGAGAACTATGAGGGGGGGGGGAGGGGCTTTTCACTCACCTCATAGTTCTAGCCGACCTGTGACAATGAGACTGTCACAGGTCGGCTCATTAGATCGGGAAGTGAGCGAACACATAACGGCGTTCGCTCACCTCTCGATCCTGTCACGGCTCTCTGCCGTGACAGGGGGAGGGGCTGGATTCCCCACTCCGATCCGCCAGCGCTGACTGGCGGAACGGATGGGGGGAGGGGGCGGGTACAGCTGGCTCTGCCTCCAGATAGGCAGAGCCAGCTGTCAGTCACGCAGCTGGGCGGATCCAGACATAATTGTCGTGATCCGCTTCAGCTGCGGCGTCTCAGTATATAGGGAGCTGTAGCTCCCTATATACTGAGCCTAGGGTGACGGGAGGACGCTAGTTTGTGTCCTCCCGTTACCCTAAGGAGAACTATGGGGAAAAGCCTTAACCTCATAGTTGTCCTTTAAAGGAGGCCCTGAGGGCCACACATACACATTGTAAAGGAGTTCGGCATTTGCTGGGACTGATGTAACTATTATAAGATCTGAGCAGAGCTGCATATAAATAAAACATCGTTGAACTGGATAAGAGTCTCTCGGGTGCGAAGCTGTGAAACGCTAAAAGTATCTTTCCTGGGTGCGACTTTCACGAAGACCAAAAGCATCTGAAAATCATCTTGTTTCCTTCTTTCCTTCGCAGATCCACCAAGACTCATCCGGGTCCGGTTGTACATTTAAGTGACACGCCAAGAGATGAAGGAAAGGTAAGAGAGTCTTGGTATTAGACTCGGCCCTCAGACCCCCCGCCCATTTCCTGCCTCAAATATTCCTTTTTCCGTTTGAAAAGCTGAACCCCCCGGGATAAGCAGATATTGGCAAAATACAGGAGTCATGTGTGTTCTTCCGGAATCTCGGTGAGCTCTGTGTATTTCTTCCAGATCTGTGGAGTCATCCCGTGTGAGACTCGGAGCTTCGGAGTAATAAAGCCCGGTCACTGCCGGAGTAATAAAGCCCGGTCACTGCCAAGGGGGGCCTTGTGCAGGGTGACTGGTCTTGTCTCCGCCCCCCTCCTGTAGTAAAGACCGGTCACTGCTGCTCTCTCGCCTTGTGCAGGGTGACTGGTCTTGTCTCCGCCCCCCTCCTGTAGTAAAGACCGGTCACTGCTGCTCTCTCGCCTTGTGCAGGGTGACTGGTCTTGTCTCCGCCCCCCTCCTGTAGTAAAGACCGGTCACTGCTGCTCTCTCGCCTTGTGCAGGGTGACTGGTCTTGTCTCCGCCCCCCTCCTGTAGTAAAGACCGGTCACTGCTGCTCTCTCGCCTTGTGCAGGGTGACTGGTCTTGTCTCCGCCCCCCTCCTGTAGTAAAGACTGCTCACTGACGCACCCTGTAGTGGGTGGTACCTGCTGGTTTCCTCCTACAGCTTTGCGCTCTATGTGCAGCACAATGACAATGGGATCTGCAGAGGGGGCGGGGGGATGGAAGCCAGTGGAGGGATTGGAAGAGAGAGTTGGTGGACACTGTGTGGTTGGTAAGGTGGATGAGTCTGGCAGCAGCATTCATGATAGACGGAAGGGGGGATGTTAGAGTGTAAGCTCCTCTGTACAGAGACTGATGTGACTGTGGAGGGGGGGGGCATTAGAGTGTAAGCTCCTCTGTACAGAGACTGATGTGACTGTGGAGGGGGGGGGCATTAGAGTGTAAGCTCCTCTGTACAGAGACTGATGTGACTGTGGAGGGGGGGGGCATTAGAGTGTAAGCTCCTCTGTACAGAGACTGATGTGACTGTGGAGGGGGGGGGCATTAGAGTGTAAGCTCCTCTGTACAGAGACTGATGTGACTGTGGAGGGGGGGGGCATTAGAGTGTAAGCTCCTCTGTACAGAGACTGATGTGACTGTGGAGGGGGGGGGCATTAGAGTGTAAGCTCCTCTGTACAGAGACTGATGTGACTGTGGAGGGGGGGGGCATTAGAGTGTAAGCTCCTCTGTACAGAGACTGATGTGACTGTGGAGGGGGGGGGCATTAGAGTGTAAGCTCCTCTGTACAGAGACTGATGTGACTGTGGAGGGGGGGGGCATTAGAGTGTAAGCTCCTCTGTACAGAGACTGATGTGACTGTGGAGGGGGGGGGCATTAGAGTGTAAGCTCCTCTGTACAGAGACTGATGTGACTGTGGAGGGGGGGGGCATTAGAGTGTAAGCTCCTCTGTACAGAGACTGATGTGACTGTGGAGGGGGGGGGCATTAGAGTGTAAGCTCCTCTGTACAGAGACTGATGTGACTGTGGAGGGGGGGGGCATTAGAGTGTAAGCTCCTCTGTACAGAGACTGATGTGACTGTGGAGGGGGGGGGCATTAGAGTGTAAGCTCCTCTGTACAGAGACTGATGTGACTGTGGAGGGGGGGGGCATTAGAGTGTAAGCTCCTCTGTACAGAGACTGATGTGACTGTGGAGGGGGGGGGCATTAGAGTGTAAGCTCCTCTGTACAGAGACTGATGTGACTGTGGAGGGGGGGGGCATTAGAGTGTAAGCTCCTCTGTACAGAGACTGATGTGACTGTGGAGGGGGGGGGCATTAGAGTGTAAGCTCCTCTGTACAGAGACTGATGTGACTGTGGAGGGGGGGGGCATTAGAGTGTAAGCTCCTCTGTACAGAGACTGATGTGACTGTGGAGGGGGGGGGCATTAGAGTGTAAGCTCCTCTGTACAGAGACTGATGTGACTGTGGAGGGGGGGGGCATTAGAGTGTAAGCTCCTCTGTACAGAGACTGATGTGACTGTGGAGGGGGGGGGCATTAGAGTGTAAGCTCCTCTGTACAGAGACTGATGTGACTGTGGAGGGGGGGGGCATTAGAGTGTAAGCTCCTCTGTACAGAGACTGATGTGACTGTGGAGGGGGGGGGCATTAGAGTGTAAGCTCCTCTGTACAGAGACTGATGTGACTGGTATGAGTGATATATAAATACAGGAAATATGAGACTTTGTTGATAGGGAAGTGGGTGGTGACGGGTGGACATGTAGATATTAGCGGGGCCTCCTAGACATCATAAATGACTGATGTAAATCCTCCCCTCTCCTCTGTTTCTGTAGCTGATGACCTGAGTGGAATGTCGGGGGTATTGGAGCTCAGGGATCCCGGTGGCATCTCTTGTTTATTTATCTTGCTAATAGCACGGTATGGATTTTCCTCCGGTGGATGTATCGACTGCTGAGATACTTAACACTCTCCTCGCTGACGTGAACGGCAATGCCACAATTCCGCGATGAGCGATGATCTGCTTCATAAAGAAAAATCATCGAGCCAATTATTTTTTTTGGCCGATGAAAGGGTTAATAACTGGGAGCATATTGACGGGCCGAAAGAAGCGTCAGCGCCGGCCGCCGTGTTCAGCTCAAGGGAGGAATCTCAGTGAATGTAATGTACATCCTCCACCCGCCATCGTCTCCGGCCCCAGGGGCTCATAATGGCCGTCCCAAAGGGTGCCGCCATCTTTCCCTGAGTTAGGCTGCACTTCCTGTCGGGAACTTTATACTCGCACACTTTGCTGAACATGGTATGCACAACGCTGATGGAGCTCACTCTATATCAGTACCCGAGCAACGCTTGTATGGTTTTTATGGATAGAAATATTTTAACGCTCTTACCCCAACCTGGCCGTCTGTCTTGGACTCTGACTGCCTTTAGGCGTTCCCTTAAGATTCATCTTTTCAGGGAAGCCGATCCCACCTCAACCTGACCGCTCAACCATTCATCCCCACACAGCTCCCTCCTCATGTATCACTGGCCCCTCCCCTTTAGATTGTAAGCCCTCAGGGGCGGGGCCCTCCTTACCATCTTGTCTTGAACTGTATTGTGATTGTAATGTCTTCCCTATATTGTACAGCGCTGCGCACACTGTTGGCGCCATATAAATCCCGTATAATAATAATATCGCTAATCTCCAGGCAAGCAGCTAAATACATACACTATATTGCCAAAAGTATTGTGACACCCCTCCAAATCATGTGATTCAGGTCCTCCAATCCCCTCCATGGCCCCCGGTGTATAGGATGAGGCACCTCGGCATGCAGACGCTTCTACAGACATCCAACCCAATACTGATCCCTACGGACTAAGACTGGGATGCCATTAGAGTTCATGTGCGTGTAAAGGCGTCCCAATACTTTTGGCAATATAGTGTATATATTTATATAATATTTTTTTCCATCCAAAGCTCTGCCACAAAGTATCGCCCTATCTAGCAGGGGGAAGAGACCTGATCATACTCTGCTATAGTTTTACTTTTACATACAGGTCTTCTTCCCTCCCCCTGCCTGAGACTGGACAGTTAAAAGCAAAGGCAGCAGATTGATGAGCTCATCTCCCTGTAACTCTGCTCTCTCCTCTTATGATTAGTATTATTATTATACAGGATTTATAGAGCGCCAACAGTTTGCGCAGCGCTGTACAATGTAAGGAAGACATTACATTACAATTCAAGACAGGATGGTAAGGAGGGCCCCGCCCCTGAGGGCTTACAATCTAAGAGGGAGGGGCCAGTGATACATGAGGAGGGAGCTGTGTGGGGGATGAATGGTTGAGCGGTTAGGTTGAGGCGGGATCGGCTTCCCTGAAGAGATGAGTCTTTAGGCCCCATTCACATTGCGCGATTCGCAAATTGCGCGATTTGTTGCGCGATATCGCGCAAATGCTTGCATTGAAAAGCATTGAATCGCGGCAAAATCCGCTCCAAAAAGGGTCCTGCTGTAGCGACGCACGACCCGCGACAGCAGGACCCTTTGCCCCATTGCCAAGCATTGGAGAGCGATATCGCGCGGTAAATAGCCGCGATATCGCGGGAATTACCGCGCGATAAATCGCTCAGTGTGAACGGGGCCTTAGGGAGTCCCAAAAGGCAGTCAGAGTGGGAGATGGTGAGACAGGTCTATGGGCATGTCACTTGCACTGCAGTGCAACTAGCTGGCTCCTTGTGCTGCTTCTTCCTGTCCCTGTCTGAGCTCTTCTGTACAGGGACTGCAAGAGGCTGATACGGGTCACTTGCACTTCTTGCAATATACAATGAAATAACCAGACACCTAGAAATGATTAATGTCTGTGCTGAGGTAGGCAATATCCCCATCCCTGCTCCCCACTCATCCACGTAAAAGAACCACCCTAAGCCACTTGATTATGCCATCGGGTGATTGGCGGGTTACCAGTCCCAGTGACACTCGGTGGTGCTTCCTCTGGGAGAGGAGACTGGTGACCCGCCAGTCACCAGATGACATAAGTGGTGTAGGGTGGGTTTTTGTATTTGAATGAGTGGGGGCGGGCAGGGATGGGGTGCAGGAATACTTGTGACCCACTGCAGCGGTTTGCCATTGCCATCAACCTGTCATGTTGCCGGCCCTTCTTCTGTCATAACCACAACCACGCCACCCCTGCAGTCTTCAGAACCTTGTGAGGGCCACACCAATCAACTCAACAGGAAGGGTCACCAGGTGGCAGCGTGGGCACCTAAAGAAGGGCTCTCCCATTCCACAGTGAAGAAGCCAGATGTCTCGGCACATCATGTGACTGCAGATTCAGGTCAATATTCACGGTTTTAGCTTACTTTTTTAAAATGATAAGCTAGATGTGTGTGTGTTGTGTGTATGTGTGTGTGTGTGTGTGTCTGGACAGTTAAGGTGTGCGAACCTTCGGATAACAATTGGAACTCCTCTTCACAGGGTTGTAAGTTGTGTCAGTATGTGGTAATCTAAAGGTGGCCATACACTGTACAACCATCGC